CCCCCCCACCCCCACCCCCCGGCCCGTGATTGTGCCTGCAAAAGGAGGCAGAATACACTAACCACTCTTTCTGGTCTAAAATCACTGGGCCCTGTCCAACGCGATCGTTTTGTCTTTACTTCTACAGGTACAGTATATGGAACTCATGGGAGACGAGGGAGGCAAACTTACACCAGATACCAAACGCTAGAGTTAGAGAAGGAATTTCATTTTAACAGATACTTAACCCGAAGACGACGTATTGAGATTGCAAACGCTCTCTGCCTTACTGAACGCCAGATTAAAATATGGTTTCAAAACAGGCGGATGAAATGGAAAAAGGAAAACAAATTCATAAATTCCACACAACCCAGCAGCGAAGAAACAGAGGAAAAGTCAGGGGAGTAGAACCACGTTTAATAAATGCTACCAGGCCTTTCCTTAGTGCTTACTCTTACTATTATTATTTACCTTGTGTTCCTTCTGCTACTAAAATCTTATAGGTTTGTCACAGTCTATTAATTCCCAAAAGGCTTGGTTCAAAGATGTACATCTGCAATCATCTGTGACTTTCTTTAATATACGTGGAAGTCCTAGCTTTTGAGCTACAGGCATGTATGTATATAACCACTTTCCAAAGTGTAGATGGCATTGTGCTTAAAGTATTAGAGATCTAATGGCCCAGATTTTTTAGTATTTGAGGTGAGCATCTGTGTGTGGGTGAGTGTCACTGGCGTGTCTGTGTGAGAAGAGATGAGCGAGTGATTTTTTTTTTTTTTTTTTTTAAATTAGAAATGTTCATATTGTAGGAATACAAGAGATTTTAGAAAAACTTGGGTTTATGTTTTTGCTAACTCCCACTATGTCGGGCTGTCTCGTTATGCTGTGTTTGGGAGCTTATGGTCTGCAGGGGAGAAAAAAAAAAGTTTTACACATGTATAAGATATTTAAATAGGAAAAAGAAGAAAAATCCTTTTAAAAAATCGTTGTATAGAACCCTGGGTATAAACTTGCAGTTAAAGCGAAGATGAATTGCAGGGAGATTTTTTAAAATGCCGCTAAACTGCCTAATCTGCACTACTAGTATCAAAATAAAAACTCGGCATTAAACTTCAGGGGAAGCGAGGGAAGAGGTTTCAAAGCAGACGAATTTCTGTGGTTCCCGTTGAGCTTATACCGAGGTTTCGGTGAGCTCAGCTCTACACTGAAGGGGCTTTGAATTATGGACTACATTTCTTGGGGCTCCGTGGGCTTGGGTCGATCTTCCTTTCTTTTTTAAAATTTCTTTTTAATGTTTTATTAAAAGAAAAGTGTCTATCATATTATCTCGGGGATCTTCCTCCCCGTTTTGTGGTATCTTAATTCACATTCGCGTTTCTTAGCACTGGAAAAAATAAATAGGTACTCTAAAGAAAAGTAGCTGCCATAAAATGCTTCCACCTCGAGTTCTGTGTAAGTAAAATAAGCGCAGCGAAAATACTGATTAATATATACGTTATATCTGTCTCTATTATATTGTGTGTACGTGAGTGTGCGTGTGAAGCTGTGTACAAATCCACTTGTATACGCATCAAGGCTCTTTTGTTTGGAAGGCAGCGCAATTTGGGCTACCGCTCTAAATATTTTAAAAGCCAAATCTGGAAAATACTAATGCAAAATGGCTACCGCCGCATTTAGAGTAGTGGTTTGGTTTTTTTCTTTTTCCTTTTTTTCTTTAAAAAAAAAGGTATTTATTTTTTCCCCGAGAGGCGGAAAAATAACGGCGGCCGTACAGCCGCCTGGAATTTGACCCCCTAGTTGGAAAAACGCTGCACGGTATTTATCTTTCATAGGTACCTGCCATTTCGCATCGGCAGGACCCGAGTGCTTCTCGAAACCTCTGGCACGGGGAAAAGGGAGGGGAAACCAATTTTGTATCTATTTCTATGTGTATGTATGTGGAAAGGAGCTAAGCGTTGCCAGCGTCCGGGGACGGATCATACCGGATTTGTGAACTGGCGTCACCAAGCCTCGCACGGAGGAGAGCAGAGGCACAAAGCGGAGCGCTCTCTGCACGCCAGGCTCCCCGGCGGCCGCCCCGGGGGAGCAAGTCCCCCCGGCCCCGCCGGCCCCTCCGCCCGCTG